GGGAGGGGGAGGACGGAAGATTAACTAGAAGTACAACCTTGTCCGAAACCACGAGGAGGGGAGGGAGGGAGAGAACGGCAGGAGGAGGAGGAGGAGGAGGAGGAGGAGGAGCAGGTAGACGAAGAAGAGCAAGGGAGGCGGGTAGAGAAGAAGGAGGACCGTAGATTGGGACGTTGAGGAAGGAAGTCCGAAGAGAGACGAACGAGAATAGAGAGAGGAGAGAGGAGAGGGAGGAGAGGGAGGAGAGGGAGGAGACACAGAGAGAGAGAGAGAGGGGGGGGGGGGGGGCACAGAAGAGGACCGAAGCGTGGTAATGACGAGTAGAGCACGAGGGAACGATAACTGAGTGAGGGTAGAGAAGGGGACGCAGAAGAAGAGATGGGAGAAAGGAGGGGAGATGATAGAGCAGGGAGAGAGAGGAGGAGAGCAAAAGGAGGAGAGCAAAAGGGCACACTGAAGAAGACTACCAATGAAAAGCGGAGAGAGCAAGGGCGTCGCCACACCACTCTCGAAATTTGAAAAAGACAAAACGTGCCGGGTGCATCTGGTCATGTTCTAGCGGGAAGTTCTTTCTCATTTTTGCACATTTCTAGAGTGGTGTGGCGATGCCCGAAGGCAGCAAGAACGGGTAGCAATGGAGAGGGAAGGAAGAAGCACAGGGAAGGGAACTTACTTACCCCCTTCGACGCTCCGTGGCACTCTGGAAATCACCCTGACCCTCTTCCAACGTCCGCCTATTTCCTTCCCCTGTCGAGCGGCGAGCGGCGAGCGGCGAGGAATGAAATGGACCACATCAAAGAGTTGAGGTCGGGGGCAAGGTCCCACTTGCACGGATTACGAGATTCTGACCGTTTAGCCCCGGATGAGCTGAGCTTTCAACACAAGGGGAGCAATGCTCGGTCCGTACTCTCAGACCAGCAACTTATTGGCCGGTCCTTAGCCGCAATCGTGACCAGGTACACCCAGCGCCTGAAGTAATGGCGGTCAGATACATCCAGTCCAGGAAATGACGGGGCTTCATGCCGTCAGGTGACCCCGTCATTTATTTATTTATTTATTTATTTTATTTTTATTATTATGTTTTGTTTTGTTTTTTTTGTTTTTTTTTTTTCCCTATACTCTTCTCTCAACTTCTGTTTTTTTGCCTTCCATTACCCACTCCTGGGACTATCCAGAGGGGACCCCTGCAAGCATAGTTTTCCTCTCTCTGTGAAGGGGAGATTCATGTTGCCCCTTGCCCCTAATGGTTAGGGTATTGGCATGGGGGTTCGGTGTCGCATTTTTGGCGGAGGGAGACCAGGACCCAAAGTGGGTTCTTAGGGGCCAAAAAAAKTTGGGGAACCGATCCTTGCCAAAATTGCGGACTACCTACAGCTAGCTCTGGTAGAACAGGGACCTTTGGAAAAAGGAAGGACCAGTCCTCGGGTGGAAGTGGACCCCAAAAAAAAGTGGGGGTCGGGTAAGGGCCCTCAGGCCCGGGCGTTGAGGCCGTCTTCTCAAAACAGGGAGGTCAGGCGCAACGAAACAGGCATTTTGCAAGAGGCACCTTTGGCGATTTTCTGTGCTCGGAGGAACCCGCAGAAAAATCTAAAATTTTGAAAATCCATATATGAGGATGTGTTCTTTCTAGGAAAAATATTAGAACGTTTTAAAAAAATCATTTAGACCGAGAAATAATCGTTCGGCACACTTTCCATTTTTGCCACTCAGCCATATGTTGGCCAACTTAAAAAAGTACTCCAAATTCAGCGAGTTTTCACTCTCAGAAGAATACGTGAAAAAACCTGAAAATTGGAGTACTCGTAGATTTTGTTGTGATCTTTCCAGGAAAAACGCTAAATAAATTTAAAAAAATCATTCCAACTGCGAAATAG